TTCATCTGTATTTTCTCTTAGCTCTGGGACTGAAAATGTTCCAGAGGATGTCAGATGGGATGACACAAGACACAGGAAGAAATCAGCAACATTGCTGTGTAGAAAGATTGCTCAACTCATGTCTGCTGCTGAACCTAACATGAAATCCATGCCCTTGAGATGCCAGGCTTCCAGTAAAAAGTTGCTCTTGCCTCAAGAAAGTTCAGCAAGCTGTGAGGGAGCTGTTTGTGCCACTGAAGTGGAACAACCTGCAACTTTGTCTGAAGCACATGGTGGAAGAAGTGTGATTAGTAATGAAGAACACAATGAAGACCAGCTCTTTACATTTGCAAGAACTTCTAAAAGCAGGGTGACTAAAAATTCCCACGTTGCTACCCCAGTGTTTATCCCCAAAGGGACAATGCTGAGAGTGCTGAATGCTACTAGCAGTCAAAGCTCCTATGGAATAGAAAACAGGAGTGAAACATCAACTCCTGTGCATCACAATGAAATGTTTCTGCCTCGCCCAGTTCCCGTCAGTGTTTCTGAGACACTCAGCAGTAGTTTCCCATGTTTGCCTAATCAGAGCGAACCAAATGCTGAGTCCCAAACTATATCACTCAGGCAGAGACCAAAGCGAGAGGCAAGTACTAAAAACAACAGCAAGCAAACTGGTGTACCATTTCAGAAAAGCATTGAAGTGAGCAAGCAAAGCAAGCCTTATTCAAAAAGTCCCAAAAATAAGGCAAAACAAACAAGCTTCAGAGAACTTCCTAAGAGGAAAACAAGAGCTCAGTCAGAAACCACTTCAAGTTCTGATATGTCATACCTGTTGACAGCAAGACGTCTTCGACTTCTTCCTCTGAAAACAAATCAGTTGATAAAATGCCCTCGTCGTAATCAACCAGTTGTGGTACTAAACCATCCTGATGTTGATTCACCAGAGATAATTAATGTTATGAAGACTATCAACAAGTATAAAGGTCAAGTCCTGAAAGTAGTTCTGTCAGAAAGGACAAGTAGTTGTCTTGGTGTCAAACGTTATCGAAAGCGTCTTACTCTTCAGAATGCTGAGATAGGAAACCAAGCAAAAAAGCAGAGTATGCTAAAAATGAAGCTAAAAAAGACCCACAAAAACAACTACCAAGTGGTGGAAACGTCACCAGCTGAAGCACTTCGATGTCTGTTTAAGTGTTGGTTTTGTGGGAGAGTATATATGGACCAAGAAGAATGGATTAGTCATGGACAGAGACACTTAACAGAAGCAACCAAGGGTTGGGATGTTCTTTCTCTTCAAGCAAGAAAACATTAAGTGAGAGCCTGGGGGACGTTTCCCCTCTTGGTTTTAATGAGTGACACTAACTTGCTTGGAATGGAGGATGGAAAAAAACTGCTTTATTTTGCCAAAAGTCCTCTGCTGTTAGCAAAGTGAAGAAGAGAGTAGAAGTACAGTGAGATAGAGAAGCTGATAGTGAGGATTAGGCACCACTTTGCACTCTTGTGATTGAAATTTGTATTGGAGGTCAGCTTCATCTGCTCCATAGGAGAAATTTGAAGAAGATTTGCTATGCAAACATCTTTCTAGTTACTTTAGGATACTGTTCTGTATGTGGTTTGTGCTAGGTCTGTATGGATTAAAATCTTAGATTATGAGAACTTTGTAAATTTAACAGGGTTTAGTTTGCTTTATTACAGCATGGTGTTTCAGAGATCAAGCGCATCTGTATGGAAATGCACCTTTGGTCCTCCATGGACAGCAAGTGTATGTCATAGGTTTTAGTGGCAAATTAAGCACTATGCATATAAAGTAAAATTTAAATGCAAGTGCTGTGTTTCAGTGAAATAAAAACACTTCTGATGACTTCAGAGGAGGTACAAGGGTGTAAATGAAAAATCTATGGAATCAGTTCCTCCTGATAACACTGAAAAAATGAATTTTGTTTAGTACTGAGTCTCTACCTAGACTGTATTGTGTAGATGCAAGGGAGCAGAACACTGTCAGGATTCTGTGCCATCAAGCCAGAATACCATCAGGCTTAGGCTGATAGTGTAAAGCACTTCTCTATATGGTGTGAAGGCTGTTCTAAAATAGTATTAGACAAACATAAACTCTGTACCACCTTGTGTGTGATAGAAGCATTTACAGACTTGGTATTTGGTTAGAACTCTAGCTGGTGAGCTTATTTACTAGGGAGCTTGTTGAAGACTTCAAACTGAAAAGCCAAGTTGCACAGCTTTTACATTGACAGTGTTGAACCAGATTTTCAGTGCAATCTTTCATCATACTTAAGAATTTGGATGTTGTTACAATTTATTTTTTGTAGGCCTCAAATTCATACAAGCATGTGCCTAGTTACAGATTATGTCTGATACGTACTGACTTCAGTGCAGTGTAAACATTGCTCAGTTGCTTAAACACTTCTCTAAATCAGGGCCAAATGACAGCTTTTTAGTAAAAATAGGGATGGATGACACTGAAGTTACTGTTTCTGTATGTGAGCTGTGGATGTTTCTCTTCATCTTGTCAATTTTACATCAATTTAGAATCATATAGAATAAAGTATATTGAAGCACATACTTACAATTAAAATAATGTGTTACAGTTTTAGAAATATGAAAATCAATACTGATTCTAATGCTGGATGTGTGTTCCATGTTTGAATTGGGACTTCTCTGGTAAACTGGTAGTCCCTAACTCTTTTAACTGATGGTGCATTTTTGTAAACAGTTTAGCTGGAAATATTTTTTTATATACTCCAGCAGATTATACATTGTTTTGATAAAATATTTATCATATCTACACTAGAATGTAAATATTTTAAAACTGCATCTGACTGAGGTTTACTTTCAAAACCACTTACTGCTTTCCCATAATTTTGCAATACAGTGTTAAAATCCTTCTGATAGCTGGTGCTTTAAGTCAGATCTTTTCATCATGTACACATGGAAAATTTTTGTATCATTTGTATCAGACTAAAACTATTCCACAGAACAAACTTTGTTTTTCCTGTTTTGTCAATAATAAGGAAATGACAGTTCTCATTTTGTATTCAAATGGAATTATATTTTTTTAGATGGGTACACTAGAGGGTTTTTTTTCCCCACTTCATATTCTTTGATGCCAAACCTAACAGTGCTATTTGCATTTTCAATGATGAAAATAGTTTCCATTTTAAAATTGCAGCATAACATAAAAAAAGAATACTGAAATGGTCAACACAAAAACCCCCATGGTTAGCATTCCTCCTTTGTTTTAGTTCCTTCACTCCAGGTTACTGTTTGAATTAATTTTGTTTCTGTAGAAGCTACCAAATAAATAGTTTTGAATTTTGTTTGTAAGAGTTGTCACTGGCAAAATCAGAACATTGCTCATGAAAGCTGTACTGGGGGGAATGGGGAGAGTGTTGCTGCTCAGCTTTGTGGATTGTGGGTAGTTTAAGTATACTAGTAATGCTTGTCTTCTGTAAGCAAGTTTACTGTTTACTTTAGTAAACATCTGCAAAGCTCTGTACCTCACTGCCATTAGTAAACATCTGCAAAGATCTGTACGTTGCTGCCATAATCTGTTACCTAAATTGTTAAACCTTGGGGTTTTTATGGTTTTTAATTTAGATTTTTTTTTTTCTTTCAACATGAAAACCTTTTATAAGTTAAATTGTATTGCAGTTATGAAATTCTTAAAGCAGATTATGTCATGCTTTTTTATGAACTCTGCTAAACTCTTTTAGCAGCTTCTAATACTTTTACTAGATAAAATTATGTCAGAATAATTTCCTTCAGGTTTAACAGTGTCATCAGTTTGAGAGATATAATTTACAGTGGATGTTTTCTTCCCTTCTGACTCAGCATTGAGAAATAAAAAGGTTGAAACAAAATAACAATTAACTGCTAAATCTTTTTAGAGCTAGTTTGTACCACTGGTTCGTACGTCATAAATTGCGTTGGAATGCTGTGGTTTTGGGCTTGAGTGGTTTTGTTCTTCTTGTTCCTATTCTATAAGGATAAAGTAACTAAGGTTCTAAAGTAACTAGGTGATTGTAATACATCTTTTTTTGTATATTACAACAACCTAGTCAAACTTCTGAGTGTGGTTAGGAAGATTATCGATGCTGTGCAGAAAAATCCCTTCATGTAAATACGGAATTGTAGTTTGCCTTCACATACCTACAAAATTTAGCTAGCCTTCCAAAACTCAAATTGTATGAATAAATATTTCTGGGTTTTTTTTCTGGAAAAATAATCGCATTCTTATGTTCTTTGCTCATACACACTGGAACATGTTTTCTTGCTGGTTTTGAAGTACATCTACTCATTGTACTTAAGATTTTTATCTCTACATTTGCATATGGTATGAATTCAAAGTGACTGTTTGCATAATGGTCCTACTGTGTAAGTGTTTGAAGGCTCAGGTATGGCACACAAGTATCTTCTACTTAAGCTGAAGAGTAAGTGCTCATTGAATAATAGAATTTACATGATCACAGCTAGCTTTAAAATCTCCAGTGCCTATAAGCATCAACTGACACTAACTTCAGTGGCAGCTGAGCACAGCTTGTTGTTGAGCAAACATGCACACCACATGGAATTATTAGACAGTGAGAACTCTGACACACAGTGTTTCATGTGTATTTTTAAAAGCAAGAATATTTATTTAATGACTGTGGTATACTTTATTAGGTTTTGCTACTTAGCAGAGTTTCAGTGACATTTAGGTAAGCAAGGGCAAGTTTAATTTTCATCTGAAGTTAGAACATAGAGTGCAAGATAAGCAAATTGGTCCGTCATTGTCAAGGTGTCAGGAGTTGGTCTCAATACCTTCCTGTGAATTAATATCTTGACATATTGTTTACTTGTATCCTCAAAGTGAAAATGCAACAATCAAAAAATGGAGTATATCTGTAATGCTTCCTTATATTATGGGGAGCTCCTTGCTCAAAAGACTAATCTGACTTTTGAGACATTTCAGTAAGAGTTCTATTTATATCTGTACAGATGAATCAGCGACAATAAGGCAGAAAACATCAGCATGACTTGAATGGATGTGTGAGGTAGCATTGTTCTCTGTGGTTTCCTGACTGATCCTTTCCATCAATGAGCGTTATGGGAACGGATTTGTAGAAGTCAATGATCTCTTCCACTGAATTAAATTTCTGTTGGGAAAAGATAGTAATCAGTGACTGAAAGTGAAGTTGCTATAACTAATCTATAACATTAAAAGACTTGCAAATGGCAATATTAAAAATAAGTAACATTTTTTGTGGAATTATGATTAGAATGAAAGCAATTCTAAAATTAAAAGCACCATATTTTGATCCTTATATTTCTTTTTTGTGTCTCTCATGTGCAGGACAAAGCAACTAGCTCCTGAGGGCAAAAAGGGAGCATGTCCAAACTCTGATAATGCAATATCACCTATAGAAGGTTGTGATGCCAGATGTGATGATATATATTGAAATGATGAAACAACTATAAATTGTTACTAGTTTTACACTTAAGTGTAAATTTACACTTAATTAGCAGTACATGATATTTTACACTTAATTAGCAGTACATGATATTTTACACTGCAAGTTTAAATGTACCTTATTAACCTTTTTCCCATTCAGATTATTGAGACAGTTGCTATACAATCCCTTTGAAGCATGGAACAAAAAGCATCTTGTTCTGTCACGCCCAAAAAACTGATATTCTCCAGGCAACTCCTGAAGTGGTAAAGGTCTGCTTCAAGGTTGCTGACCTGATCAAACAGCAAGAGAATGCTACACAAGGTGTTTATTCTCATCTGCTGTAGTGGAAGAATCCCATTCCAATAATTAGCAGTCCTTCAGTTTAAGTAGTAGTCTTCCATGTGTGTACCTTCTAAGCTTTCATCACGCCACAAAACTCTTACCGTATCAGTGTTTTCCTCTTGGGCTAGTCTTTGTATTCATTGGTATTGAACCACCAGAACTGCACATAGTAATGTAAGCTTACTTTGACATTAATACTTGTCACCTATTTATATAATATATTCTGTAAACACGGCTCTTCATTGTACACTTCGTAGTGTCTCGTGGTAGTGTCTCTCACCCCCCACCTGATTCACACTAACAGAATCTGATCAAGGATGTGATTTGGTGAAACTGTTCCTGTATTTAGATGAAAATGGTTTGATCTCAAAGCCAGTATGGTAATTCAAGTTTTCTTATGATAATTTTTACTCATATGCATCTGTTTTACTTTGCTGTTTTGTCTGCTTGTGTTCAAAGTCACTGTTGCTACTGAAAACCGAGGCAAAACTGGTGTGTATTTCATGCCTTATGAAAGTAATCCTTACTTTTTTTATTCTAAATTAACTCTTCCAGCACCAGTTCTTTTCCTGTTTTTGAATTTTTTCTACTGGCTGGGAAGTCAAAAAGTCTACTATGATTATTCATCTGCTTTGGAAATTTAATTAGGCTTCAGTAGGTTAATGCCACATTGTTCATTTTTCTAGCTGTTTAGTAATGGATAAAAAGTGTTTCAGTATTTTATATCCCTGGCTCTATTAATGGAACTCTGCATTTTGTTAGGTGTAAAGACACCTAAAGACATGAAGATGAAGAAAATTCAGTATTTGATTTGTTTCCTTTCACTGTGTGAACAGACTCAGCCCATCTCTGCTGTCGTAGGGATTTCCCATCTGCAGATCTCCAGCCTATTCTGGGGAGATGGGAATAGGGTCTCAAGGGTTGCTTGTGAAAGGTGTACTCTGAATTGTGTTGGGAAGGTGGTGAAACTCCAGGTTATGTTGCACATCCTGAATGAGACCTTTCATCACTGAGCTGTGGACAAGATGCTTATCTTGTAAACCTCTCTGAGCTGAAGGTACTGGCTGTTTGTTGTGCCTCTTTTCCTGACAGTAGCTGTTGACAAAGCACTGTCAGTGGGAGGCAATGTGGAAGTGCTCCCTAATCTGCCTGGATGGGCCAGGCCAGTTTGGTGGCTGCTGAAGGTGGGTGCAGCTAATCCTTTTGGCTCACATGGAAATGAACTGAGTGAAATGGTGTGACTGCTATGACTTACTACCGTTTGAAGAGGAAAGGTATCTGCAAATGCAGTGGTGAGGATGGAGAATAGTGTCTGTGGCTGGAACAGGGAGATCCAGAGATACACATCAGGCTCTGCTCTAAACTTCTTTGTAAAGCAGGTGCCAAGCTGAAGAGAAGCCTACAGCTGCCTTTCATTTTGATGCATTTTTAATTGCATTGGGAATTGAGAGTGATGCTGCAGACATGCTAAAAGCATGTATTTCGTGTGTGGCAGATCTAGTTTTGAAAAGAAGAAAAATATGTAAATTTTGTGTCATGATCAGCTTTAAATGCGAGCAAGGTTTGTATTTCATAATTTTCCAAAGAACTATGCAGATGAAAAAAAGCCAGTGTTACAGGGATCTCTGGATCTTTAATAGTGAAATTGTCTGGAGTAGAGGAAGGCAGCAGCCAAGTAAAGGATGCTCAGTTTTGAATGTAAATTCCTAAATTCCATGTATGCATCATTTTGGGGATCTGATCTTTATAGCTTTATGTAATTTGGCCTTTAGAAAGCTCAATACAGTATATTAAATATGTATGTAGGTGTGAACATCTGTGGCTAAATAGCTAGCAAAAAATGTAGCTCCACTAAGAGAGTAAGTGATTTTTTTTACCCTTCTATTTATTACGTTAGAGTTTGATACTAATTTAGCTGCATGGAACTTCAGTTACTTTTACCATAAAAATCTGATGATCAACCCCTTTTTTTCCTCCTTATGGGAACTAATGATAAAAGCACTCATGGGAGTTAAATACATTTTAAAAAATAACTGTTAATTTAAAATCTTACTTGGTGATACAATATGTTAACAACTTTTAGGCTGTATAGTAAAAATTGAAAATTGCAATAAGATAGGGAAAACTGAATAATTTTTCTTATTTATGAGTGAGGAAAAAATGTGTTTTTAATGGATGAAAACAGACTAATTCAAAAGTGAAAACACACTGCAGAAAATCTGTTAAGACCAAACCTCTGAATAAATTCACCAACCATGGAAAAATGTAATAGGTCTGCACATGTTCATTGGTGTTTAGTTTTCTTTCTCATTGGCTGGTGAAGAGGGAATATTCAGCTAATCTAGATAGAGCAGCTAGGTTTGGCTGCACTGCAAAATGTGGTGTAACAAAGGGTATCCCTGCACAGGAGCAAAACAGAGTGCTCTGGAAAGATTTTTAATGGGTACTAAAAAATTATAGGCAGCAGTCTTCTGTAATTTACACCCTTAGAAAGTGTTTTCACTTTCTTTGGAAGAAAAAAACTTAGATGAGCTGCAAAAATTGAGGTGAGAGTTTTCAAGAGCCCTTTTGGGGAACCCTATGAGACTGCCTGAGATGGAAGAAGCTCTTCTGAGCAATGTTGGTGCCACTGATTGTTCATTACTGCTTATGTGCTTTGTGCCCAGTGCTATTTTCGTGTCTGCCGCTGAGAATAATACATAGGAGTGCAACATTGCCATGTTTGTGATTCCCTGGCACAACACTTAGTTGACCAGCAAAGCAGTTATGATTTTTTCTGTTGTGCTTGATCCAGGGGAAGATTTGAGTTAAAGAATCCTCAAAGAAGAAGGGATAAGTTAGGCAGTCATGATTACACATTTGGCCAGGTCTTGGATGCACTGTGTGTTGTTAACTAGATGCTTGGAATCCTTATTTTGGAGTTGTACTTTGCAATTTGACTAATCAGTCCAGACCCAGTGTTTAAGATATGTATTGTCTGTGCAGAAGTTGGAACAAACAACAGTCATATATTTTGGTATTTCCTGAGATGGGTGGGATTGTGTTCTCCTTCCTTTTAGTTCACTAAAAATTGTTGATGTACTGTTCAAGTAATTTTCCAGTTACCTTAATTGTTAAAGCTGTTAACCTAATGAAAATTTTGTTCTATGTCTTTATTCTCTCGTGAGAATACACATATACTACACTGTTCTGTAGCGTGCCTTATTTCTGTCATTGTTTCTGTTCTGAGCTTGTTTGTATTAGAGCCATTACAGGAAGACTAAACAATGTCAGAACCGTGGACAACTAAACTTGCTTTCTCCTAAGTCACACTAAAATTCCAGGAAATCATCTGGGAGTTTCAGTTCAGAATTGCAGCCAGTACTTTATAGAATACGGATGGTCACTACAGCAGCACCAGGATGATGCACTGCAGTTCTTGATTTGTGCAACCATGCAGCTTCCAAACTGTTTCACTGTGCTTGCATAATGAGGGATTTTTTCCCCCTTTATAATTAAACAAATGTCCCTGAAGAACAACTTGCCAGTAAACCGTGTTCCTCTTTTGAAAGTTCATGAATCCTATCCCATGTTTTCTAAGAAAAACTCTTAAATACAAATTTTGGACCTATCAAATGCCTTAAATCAACTCGGGTCATTTTGATTTCAGGCTTTTTAAAGTCTGTTTATAAAAAAGGTAAGTTCTGAAAAGTATTGACATGCATGTAAAGGATATTGAAGATTCAGCTACAGAGTTTTTGCTGCTTCACCTGAGTTGGATTTGTGTCAGTGATTTCCACAGCTAGTAACTCATAAGAGGCTGTTGCTTTGCTTTTTTGCTCTGCAGCTGAGCATTCTTTAAGTTTTATGTTGTGTTTGTCTTTTCTAAGTTTTTTGGTTAGTTCTTTTGTTTTGGTTTTTTGATTGTTTTGTTTTGCCAGTATCACATTTTTATAGAGTTGACTTTCATTTTAATGTGTTTTGTTTCTTGTGTTAAACACAAGAAAACTTGCAGATACAGTGTTTTTTTAACCATATATGTAGAATAAGAATTAGACTCTTATCATTACTATTATTGAATTTAATTATGTAAAGAAGCATTGCTTGTCTAAAGGGATTTTCTAATTGAAATTTACCATATCTGAAAGACTGATTGCTAGGGACCCACATGATTTAATTGCTTCTGAATATCCATGACAACTGTTACCCTGTTGCTTCATAGCACCAGGTCCTGCTGTCAGATATGTGGAGTTGTATATATTTGAAAATGCCTGCTTAAATTATCACAAGTTTAAAAATATGCTAAAATAATATGTGTATACCAGAAAAGGTAGAACTTATCTTTCCTTTTTACTTTGCAGATATTACTTTCAGTAGATAATAAGTATTTAGGAGATTTTTTAATTGATTTAAATCTGAATTTGAGCATGGAGTGCAAAATTTGGTATTAAGTTATGTTGAAGCTGTTTCAAATTTGAGACACTTAAAATGAGGGTATTGTAAAATAAACTTTAATGAAACAGCAAGTTTGTTGTGTGGGAGAGTTTGTAACTAATATTTAGTATTAAGAACTTGTGAAGTCTAACATAAAAGCTATAGGCTGTAACAGCAGATGGGATTTTACTTACACACTCTCCTCTGAGCCCTGTTCCCAACGCGTATTGTTGGCTTTCTTCCAGGAATCGTACTTTAATGTTGTATACTCTTCTTCCATAATAAACAACCAAAACGTATGGTTCAGCCTTTGATTTCTTTGAACAATCTCTAACCAAGAATGTCTCATCCTGAATGACACAGATTTAAATTATGGATTGTATGGTTAGTTCACAACAAAACTTGTAAGCCATTGTGGACAGCTTACAGAAGTTTTCCCCCAAGAGTTTACCTCCCATGTTTTGAGATAAATGGTACTTACAGTGTTTTTCTGTAACAGTATCTTCTCTGCTTTATGGCGATCATATTCTCCAACATACCACTCACATTTGTTTAAATCCTTAATTTTAAGATAGCATAATCAGTGCAGAGAAATCAACAAAAACTGGCAGAAGAAAAACCAGATTGTATCTAATCTGCATTTAAAGCACATGCAGCACAGTATATAATGGTAATGCATCTATATGGAGAAATCTGTTTACGAATTGTTAATCAAATTAGACATTTAAGTTCTTATCCATGGTTTCAAGAGCTCATATTGGACTTTCTCAATGGTGCTGAACATCCACGGCTTTCATGGGGGGTCAGGAGTGGTGCCATATAGTGTTAGTCCTGTTTCCTTAAGACTTGTAATTTTTTGTAGCAAAGCTGGTCTTTACCTTTTCAGTGGGTTTGGTAAGAGATTGCATTTCCTGTTCTACAAGCAAATGTTTTGATTTATTTTTGCATGTTGCATATGATGTAGGAGGTGGTGGCTTCTTCACTGTCAAGTTATCTATACTTAATGTGGAACCTGTAAAAGTAAATTCAGAAGGAAAAAGGTTGCATTTTTAAAAGCTGTAATTTAATTTTATACTATCTTTTACTGAGTAATTTTGAGAATAGTACTTTTAATTTAGAGTATTGCGATATTAACCTTTAAAATTTAGAGCTGTCTGTGAAGAGTGGTCTTGTGCTAATGCAGCATTAGTGATTTCAGATTAATGCCCCCAGAGATTTAACACATAGGTTTCCTGATGGATTTTAATTGACTTTAATCTGACAGGCTATTGTGCACATAGCAAAGTAATAAACTATTAATAAAACAGCAAATGCTAAATAAAATACTAAATATGGGACAAGGATAATGGTTCATTCTGTTCTGTTTTCACCTTTTGAGTCTCTTTTATTTGTGTTGGATCCCAGTTACTGTTACATTGGATCATATGAAAGCCTCTCATTATTCCATTGCCAGCTAGCATTGTTTCTACCAAGTTGTTGAAACCTCAGATGATGCAGAAGTTCTGCCATGCTGATGAATTTCTTTGTGACTTGTTTCAGTTAGCAAATTCTGGGCCAAGGGGTAAGGTTGCTCTGACATTAAGGAGAAGGTGTTGGTCTTTGGCTGTGTGTGCCTGCTCCGTGCAGGGGCCTGGAGGAGCTGAAATCTTTCAAAGCAAATGTGATTTGCTATCTCTACTAGCTAGACCCAGCTAGCCAGGTCCCTGTGGAGCTAAGGAAGTGCAGGGGCTGGGTCAGGAGCACAAGAAGTCACAGGAGGCTTAGGCTGACTGAGGATGCAGAAACAGCCACAGAAAAGCAAGGGCGTCCTTCCTTTGTAAATTTTCACATATGTGACATGGGGAAAAATTGTTAATTGAAGTTGAAAACCACCATATTCTGCTGTATAACAGAAAACAGTTTTGTGTTTTTCATGCAGTGCTGGTGGGAGAAATGATCCAGCGTCCATTTTAAAGGTAAATGAGAAAAATGTGTTTATCAATGGCTTCCATCTTTTCCTTCTGGTTACTGTCACCAGAGACAGTGCTGTTTGTCAGGTGGTATTTCACTGTGCTTTATCTGTTCATGCTTTATCAGTTTATTACTGTTATGCCGGTGTGTAGCATATGACAATATTAAATTTTACTAGGAAGACTTTATTTTACAGAAGGGAAGTGGTGTTCACTGTTCCATTTCATATTTGTACCATGTTCTGATTTATAACTGCATTACTTTTGTTTTTAAAACAAGATCCACTGATAGCAGTAGACAAAGAGCCATGATCTTCAGCAGGCAATCAGTCTGTTCAGTAATGAAATCACTGTTCAAAGGGCCTGGCACCAGACATCAACCTTTTGTTTCTGCAATCACTTTGACTTGTCAAAATATGAAATATTTTTACTGTTCAGCTCACTGGATCATAATTTTAGCATTTTTGTTTGCATTGCATTTTTAGTAGCTGGCATCCTTAGAATTTTCTTTTTAAAGAGACCCCACTGCTAGGACCATAATTGCTTTGTGGACCTGTGCTGTGTATTTTTTGCAGATTTTTTTTTTTTTTCTGGTGTGTTTTAAGGTGTGGGACAAGAAGGGTAAAATTAAAATTCTCTTGCAATGCTTATGTACCAAGTCCGGCTGAGATGGAGCTAACAACACCTTGCCAAGAAATAAGATTTTAATAAAATTAATATTTGTTCTTACAATATTTTTAAGCCAAATATAGACTTTAAGGGCAATTATAGGGTAGCAGGGGAAAAGCTACTTATTTGTTCTCTCCCTGTTGCTTCAGGCGTGCAAGAGGGACAGAGGAAAAAGGATACTCTGCTGTCCCAGAGAGCCTAAAGGAGCAAAAGCCCTGCTAAGGATGGTAGAAAGTGTCTGAAGTGGCAGCAGCAGAGACCTAGATGAGCTTTACAGACTATGTAAAGAAGGATTTTTAGAAGGTGTCCAGAGGGGAGTGTGTGGAATTGCACCCCAGCACAAGAAGGAAGCAGCTCAATGGAGGGAGCCCACCAGAATCTGGGAGCTGGGGCCTGTGAAGCAAAGCTGGGGGATGTAGGCTTGGTTAGCCTGGCAGTGACCAAAGTTAATTTCAATCCTACTTGATCTGAAGAAATAATGCAATCCATATGTTCTTCCTGGTGGTATTTGCTTTTACCAAAAGTGCCTGTTATGCACTAATAGGTTCTTGGCACAGCTTAGGTTTTTTTGTGGTTTTTTTTTGGTTTTTTTTTGGTTTATATATATATATATATATATATATATATATATATGTAAAAGGGCATTTGCAGAAGCAATTAAAGGTGTCAAGGACAGTAGGAAGTGCATTGAAAATCCTCAGTGCAAACATACAAGCGTAACAAAATGAATCTGTTTCTTACTCTTATTTTTCCATGTTTACTTTGGCTTTCAAAGCAATCTTTAGCTCTTACCTGATCTGCAAAAGTTTTTAGATCTCCATCTACACTGAGGGCTAGGAAAAAGCAATGAATAGAAGTAATGTCAGAAAAGTATTTATTTTAGTGGCAGTGTAAGAATCAAATTAGAGAGCTGTGCATATCTGTACTTCCCCAGAGTACCCCTTTCTCTTACTGATAGCAGCTTTGGGCCTTCCCAGGTTTTGGGTGGTAATTGTGTATTTAGTGTCTTGACATACTTCCCTTATTTTCACGACTCACTTTTTCAAGTTGCATTGAATTTTGGGGTTTTTTTTTTTTTTTACTCTCCATAAGATTTCCATATTTTAAGTGCATGTGTAGTGAAGCACAGTTTGCTTTTGTTCTCTGCTAATTTCAGCTGATGTTCCCAGTGCCTCTATAGGAAGACCCAGGGGGCAATTCTTCCCTGCCTGTTCTGGTTTTCGAAACTGCTCCTGAGTGGCTGGCCAGTTAGTATTTTGTTGTGTTTCACTAGGAGGAATATCGACCAAATAACTCGACATAACAAAAGCATAAGAAGAAAGAGAATACTAGGGATCACAAATATGGTCACATTTACTCCACACAATAATATTGCCCTGGAGAAATGCCATTACTGTAAACAATGTTACATGAGAGATTCTGTATTTGTCTAGGAAGGATGTTAAATCATTCATATACTTCCTATGCTGTCTCCTATATTTTTGGCTTTTGTTGCATATTTCAGTAGAAAAGAGATTACAGACACTTAGAAAGGAAAGATTTGTATAGGTTAGAAAAACAAAGTATGTCTAACTATGGAAGATTTCTGTGGAAGAATAATCGGCCTTTGGAAAGCCAGGTGTGTATCCTTTGTAAATTAAAATAGAAAATGAGGGGGAGAGGAAATGCTGAGGCTGGAGATAGGGTGTTAAATATATTGTATAAAGAAGTTCTATCACAGAAATAGCAGCAGAAATGTATACAGCAGCATGCTTTTAAAGATAAAAATTGGCTGTGCAATTACAATAGCTTGAAAGCAATTCCCAAAGATGTTCTTGTCATGCATCAGGGCAAAACTATCACTGCATGGCATCAGAAAGTGGTATCATTTTGCTTTTATTGCATAGTACAATTTTCTAGGGCAGAATGTTTAGTCCTTGAAGCACCCAGTACAAACTCCTGAAATTCTTCTATTCCTACCTGGCTTCAGGAGGATGCTGTTGTGCTTGAAAAGGTACTTCAGGTTTCTTCCTCAAACTTGTAACTGTTAGTAAAAATGATAAGAATTTAGTATTTCCTCTTTTGTCTGAGAGCATCTAGGAGCTACTGTGAAGAAAATTAAGTAAATTCATACATGAGGGTGAGGCAGTTCAATAGAAACCTTAAAGGGCTGTAATCAGTCTGGCTTGAACAAGTCAGCTAATGATTTCAGTGGGAAATAGTTGGACTGGTACTGAATGTTACATGGGGGATGTTACAGGGTTTGCTGATGCCAAATATGGCTTCACATAATAGTAAATAATGTGGAATGTTGCACTAGAAGTTTGTGGAGAGTTCATAAATCCTTTTTATAGGACAGGATAGGCATTGCATTTATTAATGCAGTGGATTCTATTTCTTGCTGAAAATCAGGAAATGGTGCCTTAATCCACAAAAGGAAAAGCCAGAGGAAATGATGAATTTATTAACACAAAGTGTAAACAGCACGAAAGCCCTGTAACTTGTATCTATCTTCAAAGTATTTTGGAGTAACATTGTAGTAGACCTTTGCGCATATGGACTTAGTGAGTGGTTTAAGCCATTTTTTCAAAGCTGTATGTACATCTAAAGAATTGACATGTTTTTAAAACATTGGAGGTTTCAATTTTTTAGAACTTGTTTTAGCTTTAAAAACCTAAATTTTTCAAAAAACTTTATTTCAAAATTCTCACCTTCTAATAATGGTAGAGCAGCAAGACTGACAGAACGGTGATGACCTCTGTGCAGATCTCTTTTGGATATTCTTGTTTTGATTTTTTTTAGGCACCAACACTTCTATTTCCCCCAAAACCTTCAGACATTTGCTTAGGACAAATGTGTTACCCTGGCTCCCCAAATAGCTGTAGCTAAGGCCAAGGTAAGTTTCCTTTTTTTCTGTTGCTCATCAGCAACTTTTGAGGTCTCTCTAACTCTCTCCATTCTCAGCAGATGTATACCTGAGGGATGTCTCTTGTTTCAGTTAGAATTTTAATGACAGAATATTTTAATTTTGGAATATAAAGGAAAGACAACAAGTTATTATCATATTATTGAATACTGACCTTGCTCTCTTCCAGATACCTATATAAAATAATAATATAGTAAATATTTTTCTTTGGATTAACTTGAATTTACCCCAACAGACCCAACTATTCACCAGTTTGAAATAATTTATAGACATTCAATTGTTAATTCCTGATCACTTTGGCAAAAACAAATAATAAATACTGATCTCAGTCTGCAACCAACAATGAGAATTGAACTTTTTAGGGGTGTAAGTGAACATGTGGTTTACTGCAAAGATCACCATTTCATGATGACTGTTGTGTATCAGTTTAACTTACAATATGGTTTTCCTTCCTTGATCTTGTATTAAATTGAGATTGATTATGGTTGACTGGAGAGACACAAAGATTAAAATTAGTCACTTCTTTTCAGGCTCCTTAACTGACAGTAAAATTATTTTACTGTCATGGCAGATACTTGATTCAAAATCACTGTGTGGAGAGTCTTTATCCAGCATATTATACTAAAAATAAGAATTATAGTTTTCTAAAGATTGGAGTTTGGCTCCTAAACTTTCACTGTATTTCTTTATTATTTTTATTCACAGATCAAAATGATGGGAATATCAATTATTTTGTTTGTTAGTTTGATGCATCTAAGACTATAATACATAAATATTAAAGAGAAAAATAGGGGTTTTTTTGCTGGATATTGCATTTTGAACCTTCCTTATAAGTTACTTCCCCAGTAATGTTTACCTATTAGTTATTTCAAGTCTTATTCAGGCTGGACAAGATCTGGGCAGGTCCTAGCCCATGCTCCTGCTTAAAGCATGGAGAACTGGGAGATGAGACCTGGGGTCTCAAAGCTTTAACCAGCTGGGTCTTGCCAAGCTCCCAGAATGCAGATTTCACAGCCTATCTGGAAAACCTCTTTCAATACCCAACAGAAAAAATTCAATAATTTTTTTTCCCTATTTCTGATTGAAACCTTCATCATTTCAAGATTGTTGCCTCTTGTACTTCCACTGTGCACTGTGTAAAGCACCATGCTCTTTCTGACCAACATCTCTCAGACACCGCCTGGCATCTGTTGAGTTCCCCCAGGGTTCCCCTCCAGGCAAAAGGAGCCCAGTCCCACCAGACTCATTTCACAGGGCAGGTACTGCATGTCCTGCTGACCCTGTGCTGACCCTCTCTGCCCTGTCAGCTTCAGCCTTGAGCAGCACTCCAGGTGCTGCCTGCTGTGTGATGGGTAAAAGGGAATAGTCCCTTCCCTTGTTCTCTTGGCAATGCTTCTGTTGACACAGCTTGATATGCTCTTGGCCTTCATGGCTGTCAAGGATACACCAGTGGCTCTTGTTCAGCCTTTGGTCCCCAGGTCCTTCTGAGCTGAGCAGAGGGTTTAGTTCATTCTTAAGTAGCATTTTGCCTTTGTCATTTCCAATTTCAAGAAGCTCCTCAGTACCCTTTCCTGCAGCCTGTCTGGCTACTGGTGAAGGGCAGTCCTTCTCTCAAAGCTATTGACCTGCTCTTTGGTGTTTGAAACCCTGACAAGGCAACTCTGTTGTCTCCAGGTCACACTGAAACTGTTTAGGCCTTCATATCTATAGGAATGGGAAGTGATCAAAATTAAATTTTATCTTTTCCATGTCATGAGACACAATATTTTTCCTTATGATGTAGCCAAACTAAGAGTCTGTTAAGAGCTGAGGTATTTGTGCAGCTGTACAATTTCCAGCCAGAAATATTAATTACAGCTGTAAGATATTTATTTTTCTTGGGAGTGTTTTCATATTTGGTTTGTAATGAGTCAGTATCCAGGACAAGAAAAAGCTTTTTTTTTTTTTTTTTTTTTTAAATATTATCTTTCTTGCCAATATATAATTTTTTTAAGCAGTAAGTGTTGATTACAATATTGCTATCAAACCATGTTTTTGTCATCATCTTTCAAACTAAGACCTCTAACCAAGAGGAGTGAGGTTTGGGGCAGCCTCCTAGCCAGAACTGCGGAGAAGGAAAACTCAATGGATTTAAAAGTTAGAGAAATCCGTAGATTTGTGCTTCAACTTGCTCTGGAAGGAAACAGTTGGGATTAACTACTGTAGATTCCTATCTTCTGTTCCCTTTAATGAGAAAAAAATAATAAAACCAATTCAGTAGGGCCACATTAGTGCAGGAACTAAAACATTAAGTAAGAAGCACAAAATGCTATAAATGATAATCTCTTTCCAGATTTTACAAACATCCTTTATCAGTGCATGATTGTAGGGACTGTATCTCTTAATAAGTTTTATAGGAAAGCACTTGTCATAACTGAACTCCCTTATTGCTAGAACCATTTCCTCTGCTTTACTTCATTGGTCTGCATAGAAAGTGAGTGGGGAAGGAGAGGCAAAACGGAGCTGGGGGATAGCAGGGACTGGTAAAACTAGATTTAAAATTTGACCATTTTTGTTTTTATTGAAATGGACCATCTTATATTTGAAGTATTTATATTACATTAATGTTACACTCCTCTGTTGACCTTATAATTTCAGTTTTCTGCTTGTAAAATGTATGTGGAATCTCTGTTTGTCTGAAGGAGAGCATCTCCTGCTGCTGCTTCTTCACAGGCATCCACATCAGGCAGTTACAAGAGATGCTTTGTGTGGATTATTGGACAGGTAGCTTTGCACTGTACCTATGTTTTTATTTCTGCAAACAAATTCAGAAACTGACCCCATTCAGGAAGTAGCAGTATTGAAATTGGAACACACATTAAAAATGGACAATGGACACTTTTATGGCACAAAGCTATTATGACTTACTTTTTTTTTTTAACCTAATAGGCAAAAATACTATTACATACTGTGTAGCTGTGGAATGTGTCTTGCTTTTATAGTCCTAATACATACAAAGATGAATACTTACTTGATTTGATTCCTTAACAGATGAATGTCTGGAAAAGAAAGAATAATAAGCAAAACATTTAATTATGATAAAATAAAATCACTTTGAGTACATCATCACTGATGATTACATCTTGACAAGAGAAGGATTTTGCTACTGCTGGAGAAGTTCATAAGCATGTTATTTTTACATGACTTATTTTCAAGAGAAGTATCTTGGACTTCCTTAAAAGAAATAGTGTCCACTGAATTTCTTATAGTAAAATACAACTTTGTTAAGGATTTATACTGGGAGGAGGGGGAAAAAGAGGAGTATCAACTTCAGCACTTTTCATCTCATGCCAAAAGGTCTCATTACACATTTTAGAATCAGCTATAAATGGAAATAAGCTCCTTGAAGACTGAAGAACTTAAAAAAGGAAATACTCACAGAGCTGAAATGGAATGTGTAGAGGAAAGGAGGTGCAAAACAGGAAAAGATGAGTGGAGAATGTTCCTCATGGCCCTCATTAAGTAGGTGTTAAGGTATTTTTCTGCCTTCTCCTGATATGACTGATCAACAGGAGTATCATCCTTTCCTGGGAAAGAAATATCCTCCTTCCAAATAAAATGGATAAGGTATTGAGTCTGACATCTTTTGTTAGATGTTTTGATTGTGATGAAAGCTTACACTTTTTAGCAGTGTGTATTTCCTAATAAAAGAGACAGGGTACCAGATTTTACAAGCTATTTAGCAACATAAGGTGTGAATAAGCATCTAGTAGTTTTTGGAAGGCTCTGAGATTTAATCTCTGTTTAGCCTATCTCCTGGACTGAAAAAATATGACAGTGAGATAATTCTGCTAAATCAGTCAGAAGACAAAAGGAAGATCTGGTAGAGGAAACCCTGGGAGCTATTTTTCAACAGTGACAAGGGCTCTCTTCCTCATGTCTGTGTTGAAAACATCAATCAGCATGGAGGCCTGAGGCAAGAAATTTGGAAATTATCTGTATTATTCAAGAAGGCTAGGAGAAAGGAGAGGAACTGTTCTGATTTGGATAGTTGTTTTTGTGTTAGTTTCTTCAATTTGTTAGCTTGGTCTCCAGGACCATTACTTGGTGTGTGAAAGCCCATATTCAGGACACTGGGTGTGTGGTAAAATTCCATGACATTAAAGATGTGCTTGCAGGGCTGGCCTCCACCCCCAAGGGACATGGCCCTTGCTTAACCACAGGCATATAAAAATTTCAATCACAACAGAGCTTCTAATATACATTCCAGGACCCTGCGCTTGCCTATTTTTTTATAAAGCTGTTTTTTTAGATTGTACAAATAATGATGTGTTAAATTTTATAAGTCTTCCAAATTTTATTGGAAAAGAAGACTTGTACTCCTAAATCACATCTATGGCTGGACAGCTTTGCTTACAGTCTAGCAAAGGACTGTAAACTGTGGTGCCATATTCCTTCCCTCTGCAGCTCATATGTTTTGTTCTTACAAAGCTGTAACTGGACTGAGGATGGGTGAGAAATATTTTGAGTGAAGTGCTTGTGAGAAATTTGTCAAGTGCCTCCCCCAGATATTGTGTTATCTTATTCTGTTCCACTTCTGTCTTACTCGTGTGATAAAAGCTCCTAGTGCAATAGACGTGACATGTATTTATATTACAGAATTTGGCTGTATAATAGGACCTTTTAAATCCAAGTGCTCTGCATACTGATATCAGCTGGCAACATGGATTATAACATTTCTCACAAAGCTTTCACCCTGTGCTGCCCTACCAAGGGAGGGGACCAGTTGTGGGATTTGGAACTTTGCAGCTCTGTGTCAAGTCTTGCATCTCAATATGAAGCTACTTCATACTAATAAAATGTCTTTGCAACCAACATATTTTGGAACCTAAGTCATGAAAAAGCACCATTCAGGAAAAAAACACCACCCCAATAACCCATAATTAGAGCTCACTCATTAAATACATACTTTAAAGATTATTTGTTTGATTTGTAAGCTTATTTTCCCCCCAAAGGATTTGAAGTGACAGCTGTAAAATGAAGCAAAATTCCATCCTGATGAGCTGAATTTGAAATAATTTAAGGAAGGATGGACAAGATTGACACAGCTTCTGGCTGCTATAGGTTTTTGTCAAGAGTCATTTGAGCATCATACCCCATGGCCCCTGGATTTGTGTCCATGGGTGTTGTGTGGCTGAGGAGTGCAAAATGGAAAGGGCAAGAAGTGATTTGTAGCTTGGATTCATTGGTCTCATGGGCTGAAGCCAGATTTCTGCCTACAGATGAGTCATTTCTTTTGCTGAATGTAATGTCTTTGGGATGTGGAGTGAGTTTCTGTATCTCTGGTGCAGTCAGTGTGTTTCCCCATCACTAGATTCACTAACTGTGATAAGTAAATAGCATTTTTTGTACTTAAAAGGGGTTGCAAGACCTCTAAATATCATTAAGGAAAAAAATCTTAAAGAAAATGTTCATGAAAATTCTGTCTGCTTTTCTACTTCTTTACCATTATTTTCTCAGTCCTTTTTTTTTTTTTTTAAATGCCAGTGTCACATTACATAAAGACCACTTCTCTCAATTATTCACAGCTGTCTAAAGAGTAACTTCCTTAAGCAAAAGCAGAGGTGGGACAGAAGTAAAATGTTGTGGTTTGAGCAGGGAGAGTGTTTTGATTCTCAGGGAAGGAAGATGAGGAATGCACTGTACCTTGTGACATTTGCTGGTATCTCGGTGGGATCTCGGCTGAGCGTGTTCCTCTTGTGAAGGACCTGGCTGCTTATCCTTGGCTCTGGAGGAAGGAGCTGATACTGCTTTGGCAGCATCTTCAGAGGCCTAGAGAAGTCAAAAGAGACCTTGAAGAGCTATTAGGGAATAAAGGAGGTGCAGGGACTGTATTTTAAGCACAAGTTCTAGAAGTAAGAGACTGGAATTTTCTGAGAGTATTTCAATGTATTTGTGCTGAGCCAAGCTCAGATCCAGGAGCTCTTCAGGGCCCTTCAACAGCAATAGTAATGTTGGATAATATTCTACCCTTGCAAGACATTACTGCACTGTGTTTTGTGCCACTAAAAACTGCTTTTGTGTGCCTCAGCAGTGTGTGCCAAGTACAGCTCTGCAGTGTGGATATTTCCAGGTGGGTATGGCTGCATATATGGTCCAGTGAACACAATCCAGTTTCAGACACAGAGGAAAATGTTCTTTATCCCAGAAAACACACAGGTAACATGGGCCTGGTGTTTTCTGAGGGATGTGGGCACTCCCTGTCTGTGCTGTGAGACCAGGCAGTCAGAGCCCAGCTCCAGCTGGAAGCTGCAGCATGGAGAGGTTGGCTGGACAACATTGGAGGTGCATCAAGGTATCTGGCAGAACTGCCTTTAGTGGTGGGAGCCTTGTGTGTTTGCACAGTACATCCCCAATTTAAGTCAAGTTAGAGAATTGAGAACCATTCTGGCCACTATAATACAACCAGAAACAAATTTTTGAAATTTTTGAAATTTTGGAGAATAATGGATTGAGAATGTTGTCATTCCTGCACTATTACAGTTTTGAATTTATGAGGTTTACTGCCCTTTTATGGTATTTAATATTTTTTATAGTTAAATTTAAATATGTAATGCTAATCATACTTTAAAATTCTTTTTCTCTTTTGGAACAGTCAGTGTAGGCATGGAGGAATAAACTTGCCTTTCCTAGATGACCCTTTTAAAGGATTTTAAAAATTATAGCATTTATTATTTGAGTTTGACAAAATCAAGAAGCAATTAATTTTTTATTTGTGAGCATATAATAGAAAAATATAGAAATATATAGAATATATATATATAAATATATTTGTGGAATAGAGCTTGATCTATCTTCTGTGGAAATAAGTGAAAATATTCCAGTTGATTTCCATACATGATTTTGCTGTGTAGCACAAAGCACTGGCAAATTCATTTAAGTGAGAATGAAGCCAATATTATCACAGTGAACAGAGCCTAAGGCACCAATAGAATTGGTGGCATTTTTTTTCCCCCAGCAATTTATATCTGGGTTGAACCAGATTCAAGGTTTCTAGGCTTTTGACTTGTCTGCAGGCACAGTCAAGATGGTTTTGAAGATGCAGGCCTGAGCTCCTGCTATGAATGCTTAGAGCTCGTGTTTTGTTCTCCCTAATTCCATATCAGAACCTGCTAAGTCCAAGGAGAGGCAGCAGTGAAAGGATGCTGGCTCACTTCCAGTCACCTCATTAGCATGAGCAGCACAGATGGATGGGAGCATTCATTAGCACCGGTTCCCCGGGGAGCACAGGTAAGTGATCTCTGATGGGATCTTACCGTGGGGGAGGTGTGGGCTCCTGGAAAAGAGAGGAAACAAAAATCTCTGTAAGCTTCCCTCCCCCCTTAGTTTACTAGAGAGAAATATGAAGAATTTACATTAAGTAGACATGCCTGTGTCAAGAGTCAAAGGGTTTATGTGCTCTGCAGCACAAAACATCATTCTGTAACATGGCATTTTAAAATCAGGAATAAAAGACATCCTCATGTGAATGCAAGTGAGTGACATAATGTAGGACTGCAGATAGGAGTTTTCTTTTCCTTTAGCTAGTGCTAGCAAAATGGCAGCCTGCCTTTAAAAATCTATGAAATGGCAAAATAAACAGTAAAAATTTTAATGATAAGAGAATCTACTTACCTGGTATCCATGTACTTTCATTCTTCCTCCTAAGAATAATTACAAATAATTCTTAGTAGAGCGCTATCCATATAATTCACAAATGAAGTTACAGCTTTATTCTGGTATTGTTGCTATTATTATGGGCAGTCCAACCCCATTCCTTGCCTTCTCCCGGCTCTACCTATAGAACTCTGCTCTTGCTTTCAGAATGAAACATTTGAGGGTGATATTTATTCAGGTATTGTAAATTTAAATATTTTTCAGAGACTTTATATACATAGAAATATATATGCTTATTGAGTTAGGGATTCATTTTTCTCTGGTTTTATTTTTGTAGAGAATATTATTAAAATACTTAAAACCAATGAAATAAATTCTAATTTTCTTTAAAACATACCAAAATATGACTGACTATTTAAATTAACATCTTACTACTAACTACTAATTTAAATTAACATCTTACTACTAAAAATAACCTTAACTTTATTTTTGCTATATTGAAATTATTTTCCTAAGTTCTACATGCTGAAATCCTAACTAATGCAAAAGACATGCAACATATCTCAAGCTCTCCTTTAAATAAACCATAACTAATTGCTCTAAATAAAATAATGGTACCTTATATGTTTAACATTTCTAGAAAACACTGCTGAAAAAAAGTCTTCTGTGCTATTTATGCCATCTTGTGGCAAGGCCACTTAATAGCACTGAGCATGACAAAAAGTGTTAGGAAATATTTAAAATCAGTGTAGCTATTATATAAAAATAATAGTGTTCTCTACAAGCACTATTCACTCAAGAAACACTAAAAATATTCTCAACCACCAGAGTTTAATTTACCATCCAGTACTGGCTTTGGCTCATCTTAACATCAGCAGACATCACATGGAGACATGTAAATCCAACCTCCTGGTGGAATTCAAAGCGTCAAATAAACAGGCAAACTGTCCTTGCCTGCTGATTTCTGCAGATTTTGAAGCTGGCTTACTCAAATTTATCTCAATTCATCTTTTTTTTTTTTTTGGGCTACATGGGGATTTGCTCACAACAATCAACCTAACCTTTCATTTTCAACCTATATAGTGCTTACTTTCTCATCATCTGTAGGAATTACTTCTCTCTACATTTTGCATTACAGTGTGAAATAAGGGGGGAAAAAAGCAAATGCTGTTTTACATGGAATTCTTTGAGTTATTTTTCTGACTGTTCAAATTATAATACTTTCTAAAAATAAGCTGTTACAGCAAACACAAAAGGGTCACATTTTCTTGGCTTGGCAATTGCAGTATTTTTGACCGTATTACCTTGTGATTCTAAAATTAGAAAATGGTAAGATAAAAAATACCATTTCTTTGCAAAGATAATCAGATATTTAATTCTTCAGTAGCTGACTACATCCAAAGTAAATGAAATGTAAAAAAGTGTATAGAAACCTACTTTTAAAGCAATCTTACAACTGAGTAAAACTGCCAATATGAGGATTTTATATTTGGACACTTCATTAGGTTCTTGAAGAATAAAACTGCTTGTCTCTGATTTCACCACAAGAAATGGACCAAAATTAAAGGTACATTTTTGACTCAAAATTAAAGGATTTTGAAGCAAATTCAGGGTTAAAGGTAAAGCAGCAGACAAAAAAAGATGCTAGTTGATGTACCACACCATTAGTATATTCTGAGTAGGTCAGAACATTGTCCACAAGCCTTTGTAAATGGTCAACCTAGGATGTAAATCCTTAGTGGGAATTGCTAAAGTTGGTATTACTAGTTAAAAATAGTTATTAGATTATGTTTTACAATATATTCATGGGAAAAGCCTGAGAAGGATAGGGAGTGAAAAAGAAATACATTATTAGAAGTAAAGCACAGTGGGGATCTTGTAGGTTTTTAGTGAAAAAGTTCAGATGTTGGCTTCTCCCTGCTCCTATGTCTTTACAATATAGCAAAAAGGAAAATTAAATTAAATTTTTTAAATTTAAGGGCTCTTTTTCTCCCCCCCCCCCCCCCCATAGGAGTAGGGAACTCCTGAGATAAAATATATCTCCTGTAAATAATTACTTCAGTGTTAGATAGTTGAAAGAGTATTGCAAAATTTTCAGGATGATTGTTTTGGAAAGCAGATGCTCTTCTGAAAACTGTATCTATTCTGTCATGTGTAATCTCTGCCTATGTACAAAAGATATATATGGAAGTAGAAATTACTATTTCTGTTTGCAGAAATGGGTAGATTTTTTTTTTTTTTAAATTATACCTCTTACATTTGGCACTGTTCTCCCCTCTGGATCAAATGTGTGAACCTGTTAATAAACCAAAAGAAAGATGTGATGTTAGCCATCATTCCTGAAGCCCAGTGGAAAGGGTGCTGCTCCTGGCTGGAATGCCTCTAAGTGGGGAGAGAAAGCAAGAAGCAAGGCCATCTGTGCCAAGTGAAACAGGAACAGCTCAAAGGAACGTGGGCTGCCCTGGTGCAGAGGAATGTGATGTGGCCAAGACTTTAAATAGACTGTACTTTGGGGGATATTACAGAAAAGGGGAAATCTGTTTATGAATAAGGATTAGTATCTTTACTTACGGCTGAGTATTGAAGAGGCTGAGATGGGTTCTCACTCATTGGGGAAGTGGTACCTGAAGGCCTTAAGCAACGTGTGTCTGCAAAAGAGGAAGAAAAATCAAGCCTGAGTAATTCAGTAATATAATGTCTGAAGAAGGAGGGGTTTTAATGTTCAAAATGTATTTTTCAGGCCAGGTCTCATAATTTAAATAGCATTTTAATTTTTGTTTGTTTGTTTTCAGAACTTAACAACCATTTTAGCAGCTGTATTGAGAACAAAAGCATAACCCTGGTAAGAGCTTTATGGTTAATGTCCCCACTGTGATTATAAATAAAAGCCTTCATAAGCTGGTAAACAGTTAAGACAGACATTTGACCTTAACTGGGGTTAGATTACTGAATTTGTTTTTCACTTGAACCTTTGCTCTTGGCAATGCTGTCATGTTGTTCTAGTTTTGCAAGTGTTGTAGGGATTTTAGTCTCTAGATAATATTTCAATTTTTACTTTAAATTTTAATAAAAAACTGCATCCCTGACCATCAAAAAGAAATGCTCAGGATGTATGCTAACTTGTATTTTCAGTCATTAATTTTACATCTCAAGGACACTGGTATTTATCTGGAAAAGATGGCAAAAATGTTAGCATTGAATTTTACCCTTTTGAAATATATTTTCAGTCCTTTCTTCACTCTTTTGATCTTGCCACATTGTAGTTACTGGGCATAATACACAGGCAAAAACCAGCTTTTTGTTTAATGTGTTTTACCTTAAATCACAAAACAAAACCCATGTATTTTGGCTAGTTCAGGACAATCTTACGTAAACAACAAAAGATACGGACTGCTAAATGAAAGTTTTTACTCCTAACCAAGGTAAAAACTGTACTTGGAATTCACTTCAGGTTTTCAAATAAAATGGACAAATTAGTCTTGGAACATAATGTAGAATATCTACTTGTTCAGACTGGTTGTGATCCTTTCACACACTGATGAATTTACTCACTTTAAAAGCCATCTATTTGTTTAGACATCAGACTCCCACAAAAAATGTGTAGAAAATGTTTTTGCTGACTTTGATGTGAACTGGAGCAAGTTATCTCTTTTATGGTTTCCAATCTGTGCCATCTAGGACTCCCTGCCATTTTTTAAACTATTTAAAACCTCTGGAGTGTTGATATTGGATTGGAGCAATGCACAGCTAGGATGACATTTCACTTCCATAAATTAATTGGCTCTGTATATTTAGGCATTAAATGTGACTTAGAATAGCTTTAGTAAACCAAAAAATGATTAATGCAGCTACCTTACAAAGTTAAGAATGTTTTAGAAATACACTCAAAGTAATTGCTTATTACTGCTATTTAAAGCATCAGAGAACTCGTTTAGAAAGAATACTACATTATCATCTGGATGAAAGTTCAGTGTGTTCTTTAATATATTTTCCATCTTAAAGATTTCTAGGCTTAAATAGCAGTGAGATTTTCTGAAATGGCTGTGGGTTTGATCAGCCAGTTTTATACACATTCCATGGGGAATGGGATAATAGAATTTATCCCATGAAGGTAACATTAAAATTAAAAAGCAGTGTGTAATTATTAATTTAGCATAATCTAATGAAAATCAGGGTAATTGTTGATTATGAAGAAGCAGAAAAAGCTCTTGCCATGTTTCTGCCTACCAATGTTATTTTCCAGTTGAGCCATTTAATTAAAAATATATATAGAGACAGAAAATTCCAGGTCTGTACTGTTCCTCTGTAACTCTAGGTTTTATTCAGTTTCCACAGACAGAAAATGTTACCTGCATATTCAGATTCTTGTAGAGGTTTGGCAGGAAGGATTCTCAAAGAATGCATGGCCTCCAGCACTGAAGAATTTACAGTCTCATACATATTGTCTTCCTCCTCAGACAGCTCAGAGGAAAACTGTACATCACACTTGCCCTTCATTGTCAAGTATTCGCTCTGGATCGAAGAAAAGATATACAGATAATACAAATAAATTTAAGTTCAAGATTGATTTCAGCATGGAAATATATGATTGCCATAACCAGACATTTTGGTGCATGGGAAATTTTCTGATGAAAACTGAAGGGTTGGAAAGCAGTTGAGGAAGTGGTTTGATATTGATATGCATATCAATATATTTGATCATTGCAGACATTGAAACTGTATCTTTTATTATAATATTATCCATGTGGTGTTTGTATTGTACTGACTGTTTACATATGTCACTTGCAAGAATATATTAGCTAGCTCATCACAAATGTCACACTTCAAAATAAAAACATACGGTATTTGGGGGAATTTGTGCTGGCAAATGTGCACTCCAAGTGATTGTGATAGTGAGCATGTATTGAACAGTGGAGTCCATGGAAATATGGTGCTGAGCGTGACTCAGGATGTCTCTGCATGTGTCTTTACACTTGTATAGGTTTGTTCAAGGTTGTGTTCTAGAGTGCTGCTCCACCCTTCATCTTCACCATTTACTCACTGAAACACAACTGCTGGCTTCCTCCAGCACAGAGCCAGTATTGCTGCTGAGGAAATTCGACTGATGATACCCCATGGCTCTAGAAGTCACACTTTATTACCAACAGTGTAGGTGCATCCATGCACTTGGGTCTTCTGTGATGTTTTGTCTATTTTCAAATTTATTTTATTCTCAAATTTATTCCCTGATGTTTGTTTGATTCTCATTACTAATGGGGAATCAACAGCTTCCTGACATAGCGTCTTCTACCAGTTAACTGCCCTTTCAGTTCATGCTTTTTCTCTTGAGTGCTAAAATTGAATCCAATTTGTTTTACTGTCCAAGAGCACTAAATAAATTGATAGCTAGCTACTTTATTTCAAACTTTATATGCTAATGCCTATAATTATATTTATTTATTTATTCTTCTAAGAAACAAATATGCTTCATTAAATCTTTCCTAGATTTTCAACCAACATAAAAGGCTTTGAATCTCATATCCTCAGTGTTACTTTCCTGTCAGCACACTCCAGCTTGTACACCTCTTTGCTAAAACACGAGGCAGACCTCCAAGAAGTGTTCTTTACAGTACATTGCAGGGTGAGATTTGTCTTTATGACAGTACATAAAAAAGTCACCACACCCTAGACAGACCCTACAGGGTACCTGTGTTTTCAGGCTCTTCTCTGCACCACTCTTTCCAGTTCAATAGCAATACTGTCAGCTAGGCTGAGAGTGGCTATTTTTTCAATCAATTGTGCAAGCACTTTCACCTAGTTGAAATAATTTTCATCTAGACCAGGCATGTATTTGTGAGACTGTCTTCTGGGGAATATCAGAGGCCTAATAAAAAGCAATATATAACATATTTACTGTTTTCCTTCTCATTATTGTAGTCATATTTCTGCTGAAAATGAAATTAGTTTGAGGAATTGATGAGATGTTCTTCATGCCACATTAACAATTCTTTACATAATCAGACTTATTATTTCCAAAATATCTTTGCTATAATCTTTGTTTAATAATTTCTCCAGGTACCAAATAAGTCCTCAGGATTTGCTTTCTTTATTGGAAGAAAATGTCGTTACCACTGTTCTTTTCCATAATTTTAGAAACTCAGGACTCTGGAGAATTCCCAAAGAGAATAAATGAATATTTGAGAAATTTCTTAAATAATTATTTAAGGGTCTTAGCATAAGTAAATAATTTCCTGACCATTCTTTCCCCATTCTGCTCTGTGCTGTGTTTGCCTTCTATTTGGTATTAATCCCACATAGGAACTGATTGTTATTAATCATTCTGTGAAATCTGAAGCTGTCAAAGTATTGATTGCATCAAATTTTTTAAGTCATCCTTCATTTGTTCAACTTATTTATTAAAACATAGACCTGTGCTTTATTTTCATCTTTTTGTGATTTAAAAGGTATTTACACTATTTTTTTAGACACCTGAACTGAAACTCAAACCCAGATTTCAAATACAAATGGAAAGACATTGAAATGTGTTGTTTGCTTTTCAGCTTTTATTTATATTGCTTACCTATTTAATCTTGAGGTTTATGACTTATATCCTTGTTTAGCTTGACTCCTGTTATTTTTACTTGATCTTATGATAAAGGTGTATTTTAGATTCAGCCCATAAATGGAGAATTGGTGAGTGAGTCACTTCTCCAGTCTAGATCCCACTTTAAAAAACTAAATGTTCTCATCTGTATTTCACAATTCTTATGCCTTATTTTGCATTAAAAACCATGATTGAATTTTTGTTAGTATTATAGCTGAGATGATATTAACATACATCAGGAAGAGAAAAAAAGGTAAAATTTTAGGAAGAACATATGGTACTTACAGAATGAGAGGTGTTAGCAGGAATAGTTCTCTTTTCTGTATGAAATGGAGAAAAGCTGTCAGCAGGTCCCATTCTATTGTAAATTATACAGTAGCTAGTAACTTATATAAAGGAATAAAAGTTTGCCAACCGCAGATTTGCGAGTATTTATTTACAGTATTTTAGAGAGATGGAAAAAAGGACACGAAGCAGGTCCACCCAGGAGTTTGTGGATCTACACAACGCATGAGGAAGTAGCTGTGTGGAAGTGGGATTCACAGTCATGACCGTGTCTAAGCCCGCCCACCAAAAACACCCAAAGAAGGATGTGCTTGAGCTCCCCTTTCTCTCCTGAGTTTTGCTTCTTGGTGCAGAACTTTGACATCTGTGGGACTCCTGGTATGGAAATCCCTCTGTGAGTAGAAATGTGTTTTGTTCTCTCTGTAGCAGAAGAAAATCCCAAATCTGAGAATACTCCAGCTATCAGGCTATTCTCGGTGATGTTTGTCTGCCCATGAAGCTGTCCCATGGTACAGCCAGGAGAGTATGAGCTACAGGGCCAAAAAGCTGGTGAACAGAGGCTCCCAACTTCTGCAATTGCAGAAGTTTGCAATGACCTGATTTACAAACCAGATTTACACGTTTAACCCAGTGACTCTTTAATGCAAAACAGCCATGGTATGACCTTGCCCAGTATGTGCTCTCATTCTGGACTGTTTCCATCCTTTCTTAGGCTGCCTGTAACCTCACAAATCTTACATCTCTGGCTGGCTACACAATGGCCTAATTTCAAAAGTAGAACATGAAAAAGTCCTATCGAGACCAACCAATAACAAATAATTACCGCATGTTGTAATGCTTAGGAAAAAAGGGATAATTGTGCACTGAAATACTTTTATGCTAAGGAGAGAGTTAAAACCAGGACTACTTATTTTCCAGGGGTTGTGCCCCATGACTGAAGGGTATTAAGGACAGCCAGCATCCCACAACCCTCCCTTACAGCTGTGTTTTGGAAGAAGCAAGTTTCTGTCTAAACACCCTCTTCACATTTGTAACTCTCGTCCTGTGAGCCTGGTATTGCATAGTTTTGTATACTCCAGCAGATGGCATTGAATGTTCATTTATTCCAAATATGTAGTACTTTAATCTCTACTTGGAGGCTCATTCCTAGGTGACAGAGGAGGAGTTTATGCAAGCTACTTGTCTGATTTTCTGTTTTGTTATACTGGTTGCTAATCAGAAGTTAGCCCAGTTAAAGGTGGTACCACGATAATAATAAAAGAGGCAGTGACTTAATTTGTAGATTTTGTACTTCTGTTCATAAAAAGAGTGTGGTTGATTTATCCTCAACAAAAAAAAAACAAAAAAAACAAAACAAAAAAAAACCAACAACAAAAAAAAAAGAGTAACAGTGGTAAACATCAATGCTATTGCCTTTGCATTTTGTGGCTTAATTGGCTTAATGCTAAAAGGGGACTGTTTGACACAAGCCTTTGGGGTGATGTACTGCTATCCAATATCAGTTTACAATTTGATGTCCAGGTCAGTTTATCATCTCTTCTGGTATACATGACTCACTGGAGTTGGGATGAACTCCATCTGCCTTCTTTCTTCTCAGGCCTCCTTGGCACTGGACCAGTGAAGGGAGCAGCACTGGTGCTGCTTTTCCATGGGTCTGCCCTCTGTGTAAGGTAACTGCCCAAATATTTGCTCTTTGCTAGCTGAGGAGTACAAACCAGTGAGAAACCACTCTTCCTGTTATTTAATAATATAATTTTCATAATGAAGATAGTAGCTGCAATCAGCTGGACCTTCTGGCATAATTTTTTTCACTGCAAGCTAAAGATTTAAAACTGGCACAGGCTAGAGACTCCTCAAGCTATAGGGACTCATCATGTTTTATTCAGTCTGAAAATTTTTCATTGCTTTGCTGCATTGCCTGTGAAATTGATAAACAGAGACTATCACTTATATTAATAGTAAGGTGTGGCATGCATGTGGGTGTGTTTCTGCCAGTTGACAGAGAATGCCTGATGTTAAAGGACAAAATGGAAAAAAAATTATCTTCTCTTTAATTTGCAATGGAATAAAACTGTGTGTACATTTTGTGGCAACCTTGACTTTTCATGGTGATCTAAAAAATTTTTGTTTAAAAGGGTGACAGGTTAAAAATTTCTACACAAAAACCCAACACTAAAAGCATAGCCCTTTAATGGGGAAAACAGAAGGTAAATCTGTTCCCATTGGCTTCTCTGAATCTATGAAAGCATAGTCATTTTTTAGTCACTGTGGTGTTTCAGCCAGTGTCAGAAAATGATAAAGAATTGTGGGTTGTGATTTAATAACCCCTGTGATCCTGTAAGGGTGTGTCCTAACCATTTCAGTAGAAAAAAACCTGAAGCTGGAAATGCTGCAAGGAAGAGCTCTATAGACATTTTCAGAGTCACTTTTTTTACTGTCTTCCCCAAAATTATGATGCAAAGCCCTGTCCTGTTCAGGCATACAGGCATCTTCCTAAAGCATATGGAGGGGCTAGACAAACAAGCTTCCTGAATAATACAGTTTTAATTAGAGTACCAAGTAAAAGATTAGGCAGGTTTCACTTCAGAAATGTGAAAAAGGCGTGTGAATAAATACCAGTTATGGTAGGCATTTGGGCTAGGGCCAGCTATCCACAACAATAAAAGATTTGCAGTAAGATGATAGATTGCTGGGTTTTATTTTTCCCAGAACTGCTTTTTCCAGCCCTAAATCTAAATCTTCTATATTATATGGATATTGAATGCATTTAAGCAAACTTCACATAATGCTATAAACATATGGTACATCAAATAAGTTTATCTGGCTAGTTGTGCCTCTTTTTAGTTAGATGATTTTATATGCTTTGCATTAAAGGTCTCAGCTCAGCTACAGTTGTGAACTGCAGTGTCATTTACAAGGAATTTAAGTAAATGCAGTGATTTACTTTTGAAATTAATGCATTTTAAACACATGCTTGCTACTGACCATAATCTGTCATGGAAACAGATTTAGAGATCTTAAGTCATTGTCTTCTTGTTTTGGAACAGCAACCAGCAAAAAAGAGGAGAGACCTTCAAAGATAGCAGCAGATGGAAAAAGAAAGTTTCCTCAGTTGCTTTCTAGAAGCCATCAGCCAAGCTAATATTTTCAGTCTACATCAAGAGAATAACTTATTCCTGGCTTTTTGCAGTGTATACCATCATGAAACCAAGCATTTTTTGTGGCACAGTGGAAGTAAATACCTTTTTGTTGTCTGCCTTAGTGAGTATCCCCTTAGTGGGTGTCCATTAATTTTAATTTTTTCTACTAATTCATTTTCATTTTCATGATATTAAAATATTCAGATCTATCACAGACTTTTACTGTCTCTAATAAGAAGTAGGCTACATAGACATGCTACAGTACTTCATTTTTCAGCAGTGAAAGAATTTTACCTTTCAGATGAATATTTGGATTCATTACTTCATGTATATTTGGGCAAGATCTAAATACAGAAAAAAAAAATCCACTTAATTAAATTTTACAAATTTCCATTGTTCTGTGAAACTTCTCAAAGAGTCCAGTTTAAATTAATGAGTGAAAGTTGAAAGGATAATAAGTGCATTTGGGAAATGACTTTACAGATTTGGAAATTCAACAATCTTGGGTCAAACCTTACGTTTTTATTCACTTACAGCTCCAAGTTTGTTGCAGAGAACTCTACTCATTTTGCAAACATTCATATTAGACATAAATATTGTAACAGCCTTATTGATGTTTTACATATTCAGTGTATTATTGGAGGGATGAATTTCCTTGGAGAGATAGGAGCTAAAATTCTCTTTTACATGCAGCTGTGCCACTCCACATGGCTCCCCTCCCATTCTGCCAAATTAGTATAACACTTTCCCTAGACCTGATGTGGTATTCTTCCATCCTGCCATTCCTCTGCCATGGAGAATATATGAGATATATTGGGTGTGGAAGAACCACATAAGCCTTACTCTGGTGTTGGTTCTCTCACCATGACCCTCTTTACCCACTGGACTGTAGCTCTGTATCAGCCTGTCCAGCAACATTTGTGGATCATTGCAGTAGCAGTACTTAATATTCAGAAGCAACATCAAAAGCTATTTTGCAATGATTTGGCCAGAGATCACATTAAGACTGCATTAATGCATACTCATTTTATCTATATCCAAGCATCCACCCTTGGAATTGCCTAAAGTTTGGGAAATACCACCACAAATCTCAGAGTTTCAACTAGCTCACTCTTACAATTACAAAATAATTTAGATTAGCAGCAGCTTTTGAGCACAGGGTGAAGCTGAGTGCTTTCCTGTTCAGTGAGCAGCTGTAACCACACAAGAGTGAAGTACTATAGTGTGTGATAATAGCATGGACATATCAATAATAAACCTTTTATTTATATCACTTATCAGTGATTTAAAAAGTAATTTATTTACTTACTTATTTTTTGGCAAAGCTGTTTTCCTGCTGTTTGAATCTGCTGGATGATATTCTACTGTTTTTCTGTTGGCTCTGACAGAATTGAACAAAGTTTACTGTTAGAGAGCAACAATAAGTGGGGAAGAAATGCAAGTGCCAGCAGAGCTCCAAAACTAAGTTTCAAAATTTTCAATGCACATATGCAAATTATTACCTCCTCTACTTCAAACATTTTCATTCTCTGAATATTTTCCTGATTTTTTTTTATGTTGTTGTTTTCAGCTCTTTGGAAAAAAGAACAGCAATTTCCTGCTGAGGGAATGAAAGGCTGGAAACTGAGTTCCTGTGTCCACTGTTTTGGTTACATTAGAATAGGGTACTTTTTGAATTCAACTGAATAGGAATTAAAACCCAGGGGCATCCATCCAAGATCTCTGTTGCTGGTAAAATAGTTGCTAAACACCAGTGCTGTAGATACCAAAACAACAGAACTCAGTTCTCTTGGCCTCTCTACTTCTGATTGCCCTTGGGCTTCTCTCTTAAAAACAGAACTCCTTATTTTACTCAGGTGAAATAATATTGATTTATAAATCCTTGAAATGATAACTGAGATTATTTCTAATTTTACCTTTTGACTACTGGACATTTCAGTGTCTTCAGCAAAAAGAGTTAGGATTATCTCACAAATAATCCCTACAAGTGAA